AACCAAGGATGCAGACATGAAAGCACCTGGCCTCGCCCTCAAGAGGGCAGGCAAGCCCAGGGAATGCAGCCTAATTGCAAAGCCTCATTCCTCTTCTTCCCTAACCCCACACCCACAAACACAAGAGGCCTGGGTCTGCTGGGAGAGTCAGCAACGGCACGAAGCACCTGAACTGAGAGGTATAGGACGTGACCAACCTTCTGAAGATAGGCCAGTAAAGGTACAGGAGTGTGAGGCATCCGTGCTCATGGACGGCAGATAACTTACTGACGCTGGAGCAGAAAGGGCAGGGACCGCGTTGAAGATGGTGCTATCAATGAGGCCAGCTCCCCCAAGAGCCCATGTGTCAGAAGCAAACAAACCAAAAACTCTACTTTGGGAACCACAGGCCAACGTGGTTAAGCAACACGATCAGGCTTGCAGGTCAAATTAAGCTCAAAGGGATACCAGAGGCTGCACAGCCAAACCCACCAACAATAAAACAGTGGACAGGACATCTCGAAACAGGACAGTCAGTCATGAAGTTGGCAAACTCCCCATCTCCTGGATGGGGAGGGCTCCACAAAGCTTGCAGACACACCGTAAAGTAGCCAGACCTCAATCCACAGACGTCCAAAGCTCCCTTGAGACAGAGAATACTGGCTTACTCTCCTTGTCTCTCAAATTTAAACTCCTTTGGGATTTCTTAACTGGAAGCACTAAAACCTTATTTTGTTAATGTCTTGTGTGTGTGTGGTGTATGCATGTGATATGTGTGAGCTATGTGTGTGTGCAGAAGTACATGCCTGTGTGTGCATACTTTCAGAGGCTACAGGACACTTACCGGGTTTGCTGCTCTCTCTCTCTCTGCCTTATTCTTTTGAGACAGGGTCTTTCACTGAACCTGACGCTGGCAGCCAGCAAAACTCAGCAATCCTCTTAATTCTGCCTCACCCTGCTAGCACTGGGGTCATGCCTGGCTTTTGACATGGTGCTAGGGATCTGAACTCAGATATTCATGCTTGCTCTGCAAGCACTCTAAGCCTTCTCTCCAGCCCCCAAACTCTGTTTTTCAAACGGCAAAACGGTTTCCTAAGCTTGAGAACAGAAGGGCCAAAGTCGTAAAGTGACCTAAAACAATTGATTTCACAGACTAGGATGAGTAGTGGAGTGCTTGCCCAGTAAGACTTGTTTTAAGGACAGACTTAACCATTTTCCGCTTATCCTCCCTACATCGTACTTGAAATGAGCAGATTCCAGGTAAAAAAAAAAAAAAAAAAAGGAAAGTACAAAGGCTGCCAACACTGGAATTTAACTCTGTAGCAACAGATGTCCCTCTGCTAGTGATAGCTAACAGTAAGGTAAACAAACAGCTGCTGAGCATGATGAGATGGGAAAGGAAATTACTCCCTCCAGGTGCTTTAAAAACCCACTACACAGCAGGGCGTGGTGTTGCACACCTGTGATCCCAGCACTCAGGGAGGCAGAGGCAAGTGGATAGCTGTGAATTCAAGGCCAGCCTGGTCTACAAATCGAGTCCAGGACAGCCAAGGCTACAGAGAAACCCTGTCTCAAAAAACAAAACAAAACAAAAAAATTAAAATTAAAACCTACTATACACTATACCGCTGAAAAGGCCCCATCCCTGATGGCCATTTAATCACAAGTCCATTCAGGAAATCCTGAGCAAGTCACCCAGGCATGAAGAAACAGAAGACATTACTGTGTCTTAACAGGCTTTTACAAGTTTGATGGCAGCATCCTAAACTGATTTAAATGTAGTGACCAATTTCCGAAGAGGAGATGCTAATCAGCAAGCGCAGAAGGAATAACCAATAAAAAAAAATAACAAGATCAAACTAGAGCGTCCTCCTCAAAGTCATCAGCTAGCATCGACTTCAAGTCTGCCCTTCGCATCCAAAAGGACTGCTGTTGGACGGCTGGTCTGTGTTTTTATTATTTGCTTAGTGTGAGTGTATACATGTGGAGGAGAGAGGACCACCTGAAGGAGTTGGTTCTCTCCTCCCTTCATGCAGGTCTCAGGGGTCAAACTCGGGTGATGCTCAGGTTTGGTGACAAGACCCTTCACCCACTGAGCCATCCCCCCCCTCCGGGTTGTCATTGTTAATTCTCAGATGAGCTACAGAAATAGGCCAGACACCCAAAGCTCCAGCAATTATCACCACTTGGTCTTTCAAAATCCTCCAACATAATTTCCTACAGTCTCCCTTCACCACTCAAACTGAACCCTCCATTCTCTCGCAAAAACAGAAAAGTCAAAAAACTTCAGCAGGTACCAGACTTCCTACCTCAACAAGATGAACAAAGGCCAAGCATCCAAATTTCCAATTCTTCATTAAAACAAGTTACCAGGCAATGATCTGGGCAATAAAAGGGGCTGTGTTTAGTAAACCTAATGCTGTGTCAAAAGAAGCATGGCAGGCAGGCTGCCGGCACACATCTTTAACCCCGGCACTCACAAGTAGAGGGAAGTGGATTTCTGTGAGTTCAAGGTCAACCTGATTAACAGTTCCAGCTAGCCAGGCGTACACACTAAAACCCTGTCTCAAAAGAAAAAGACAGAGAGAGATGGATGGATGGATGGATGGACGGACGGACGGACGGACAGCCATATTTGAAGATTTAGCTCAGCAGCAAAATGCCCACGTTCACTGAGGGAAGGAGAATGCTAACTTTCTGAAGCAACAATCAATTTTCAAAAATCCTTTTCCTTAAACTCACTTTTATTTCTCTCATTCTACTGTCTGTTACCTGAAAAATTTGGAAATCTCATTACTAACACCAATCTTAATACTAATAAGGTCTTCACTGCTAATAATGTCCTCACTGCTAACAACATCCTCACTGCTAACAACGTCCTCACTGCTAACAATGTCCCCACTGCTAATAACGTCCTCACTGCTAACAACATCCTCACTGCTAATGACGTCCTCACTGCTAACAAGGTCCTCACTACCAACACCAATGTCACTACCAACACCCATCTCACTACTAATAGAGTTCTTTTTCTAAGCAGTTTATTCAATTACAAGTTAGACTGTTCCTCCTGTAACATGACAATTTCCTACACAGGCACAAAAACAGCAGCTGGGCGCTGGAGAGATGTCTCAGTTGTCAAGTGCCTGCCTCAAAGAAAGGACCTATGCAAAACCTGGTACGGTGGCACTCAATCTGTAATTCTGGAGAGCTGGGGCAGACGAGATACCACACAACAGGAAGACACCCTCAAGAAGTTCTCTGGCCAACCAGCCAGTCCAATCTAGCCAATGAATGCTTCTGCTCTTTGACCTCCATATATGCAGCAATGCACACCAACACATACTGACACTTCACAATATACACTATACACACACAGACACCCACAAAAACATTTTTGAAAAGATTAAAAGAAAAACATACTTGAAATAAGGAAAAATCACCTGCAAAAAAGAGAAAGGAAGTGGAGGGGGGAGCAGGCAGGCACAGAGGAAGAAAAAAGCAAGCAAGCAAGGAAGCAAGAGAAAATTTAAAAAGCCAAACAAACTCTCTGGCTTTATCACACTAACCTAACTTCTCAGCAAATCATTATTTTCTATGTGGTCTGTGAAGTCAGGACTCAGAAACTCAGGAAGATGGGGTGCCTTCAACAGGAAAAGGCTTATTTAAAATCAGCTCTCAGTCTACCCTGTTCCAACATTTGCACAACCAGAAGCTAAATAAATAAACCAATCAGAGGTTCTCAGCAAGGTTCTTTCTCCTGGCTAGCTAATAAAATTGTCATAAACAGTACTGGACACTGTAAAGGGGTATGTCAGAGCTAGCTGGTGGTGCTACAGGTGACCATGTCCTGATGGTCAAGGTACAGCCTCAAGAAAACAGACCAAAATTCAAAGACGATGACCTGAGCAAACTAACTTTGCAACTCTAGCTCTGACTCTCTGACTAAGGCACAGGTTGTCGATGTCCTGAGGCCTATTTAAGTTCTGAAAAGTAAAATTATTTATTCCCAGATACCTGAGCTAGCGATGTGAATGTGTTTGTGTGATGTGAGATCTACGTCAAGGAGGCATCACCATAAATCAAGTCTCCACACAAGTCCAGTGCTCTATTTTGCCTGTGCCCAAATGGGCTCTAATTCACTGAGGAAAAGAAAAAAAAAATCGCTAATAAACCCCCAAAACACTGCTGACCATAATACACTTGGTAGTAACATTCCTGTTGCCAAGATTCACTCAGTTCCATGGAGCAAGAAAGGTCAGACTTCAGAAGCAAGTCAGAGGCAATCCTTATTAAATCCATAAGTCTTATGTGCATTTTGCTTGCATGTATGTCCGTATGGAGGCTCCAGATCCCTGGAACTGGAGTTATGGACAGTTTTGTAGGTGCTAGAATTTGAACCCAGGTCCTCCGGAAGAACAGTCAGTGCTCTTAATCATCGAGCCATCTCTCCAGTCCCCGTAAGTCTATAAGGTTATTATATGCGGAAGACCGAAAGAAGGAGCTAACACACAACTGTGTGAATAAAAACTGAGCTCAGAGTAAGAAAGAAAAGCAGGGAAGCATCATTCACAGAAATAAGTGGGGGAGGGGAGAGCAACTAAAAAGCCAGCATCTACTGGCCAGCCTCACAATCTCCAATATTTATATTCCTATACTATCACTAAAGCCTGCCCCTGGATGGAGTAGGGAATTAGACCAAGGTAACAGAAATGGCTCAGGGTTGGCTTTTTCATTTAAAGGTCTACGAACTTTAAATTTGTACTAAAGCTACACCAAAGCTGGAGTGGGATTTAGAGCAGTATTATCTGCGGTGGAGCACCAGAAGAATTTCTTTACATATTCAGTTCCAGCTCCTAGGCATTAGAAATGTGACAAAACTTCTAAGCCTGCTTCCTGGATCCCAAGAATGGAAGTATGCGTGACTTCACAGGCGACGGCCACCTACAAACTACCAAAGGGTACTGTGAGGATGGAACAGCACGCCCAAGTGGGACATGATTACCAGGGTACAGAATCATTACCCGCTAGGATGAAGCTGCCCACACAAGAGATGAAGCCGGAGAGGAAGGAGTTGAAGGGGAAGGTGCCCACGAGGAGACAGTAGCCGAACTGCAGCGCCCCGGTCAGCAGTATATAAAGGAGATAGGCGTCCAACAACTTGAGCCGCTGCGGAGTGGAGCTCAAGTACTCCTCCAGGAACCGCGAGATGACGGACACCACGGACGCCGACATGACGAACGCGGGCACTTCGGACGCCGGACAACCACAAGGGATGCGGCTGGCGCGTGCGCGCTGGAGGGTCCTGGCCACGCCCACGCCGGCCGGCCAATTGGCGCAGGCGTAAAGGCCGGCCTTGGCGCGTCACATGCAAAGCGCAGGCGCAAACCGCATTCCCAGACTGAGAACTACGGCCGAAATAAATTAATGCGCCTGCGCGTGGCCTATCAAAGTTCGGGAGACGTGTACTATATCCTTATTTCCGCCCTGCGTTTGTTGACGCCCAGTGTTGCTCTGGCGACGAGATTTGTGACAGGAACAGGGGGAAAGGTTTAACCACGGACAGCGTAGCTTACCAGAGAGTTCCGGCTCTTTTGGATCCCCCTGTCCTCAGTGGTCAAAGTTGGGAATCTGTTTAGAGACCAAGCTGGCGGCCCAGGGATTTAACCTGACCCTAATTCCCTTGAAAGCTCTGTCCGCAGATGCCTGTTCCCCCGCAGTGAAAACTATGCTTCTCCGGGACAAGCGCCAGTTTACACTGGCGAGTGAGGGTTGATCTCTACAGGATCCTACAATGGAAGGCCAGCTCTGGTCCTACCAAGAACCTAAGCCAGCAGGTATCCATTCATCCGACAAACGGTTGCTGGGTACCAAGGAGGGACAATAGCTTGTGGTTAAGTTGTAGGGGGTTTTAGGTTAATCAGTCACTGTCTAAAAGGGAGTCTCTTGTGCATAGAGTGCAGGGTCAGGAGCAGCAACAGTCCATCCCAACTGGCATCTTAAACCTATTGTAAGATCCCGAGATGTCAACGATGAAAGGCTCGCAAACCTAGTATGAAGTACCCGCATGAAATCGGGTACTTTATTTCGGTGTTTAAGTCACTTTCAACTGCCCCACCTAGCTAAGTGAGCAAAATTTCTAAAACAGCAACTGAACAACACTCCCGTATTGTCACTTGTTACTTGTATTTAGTCTGAAAACACTTAGCACCACAGTCTTACGATGAGCAAAGAGCCTTGCCCAGGTTCGGGTGAATCACCCGTGTCCTTGGAAAGCCTTGTCTGTTAGAAGAAGTAAATCCGTATTCACAACCAAGAAGCTTTCACTGCTTAAGAAATTTAGCCTCAGTGCTCTTGCGGCACTGTAGAGCGGGTGGGGTAAGGAGGGGTAACCAGACTTGTTCCTGTTTCCCATAATAAGACATCCATCTGCAATCGAGCTTCTCTCCCTGTCTCATCACAAGTAGGGAGCAGATTCATCCGGTTTTCAACTTAAGACCAAATAGGCCAAGTGGCTGCTTTTAATCATCCAGCAATGAGTTCCTCAAGAAGTTTCTATGTCATCACTCCAGCCTTCCTGCAGTGCCTTGGTCTTTGACCCTTGACCACTACCATCATTAACATCTCCATAGGAACTCCCTAGGAAGACAGAAGCAATGCAAAACAGCACTTACCGAGACAAGCACCACCATTCTGAAACGAAGCCATTCCAATATAATGAACTAAAAATATCCTCTGCTACCTGAATTAATAATAAGAGAAAGTTTTGTTTTGTGTTCAGTGTGTGACCTTATCTTACTTATCAACAGGAAATCATACTGTTGTTGGTTTTGAGTAGTGTGAGTCACATTAGCATGTGTAAAAAGTTCATGTGCAGAGTAATGGTAAGGGTTCAAGTTTTGTGGACAAAGATGCCTTTCACTTTTGATCTACCTACTACTAATTATCTAACTTGAGCCTGAGCACTTCACATTCAGTTTGTGGTTTCTTTCTTCCTCTTCTTTTTGACAACGTTTCTTTATGTAGCCTAGCCTGGAACTTACTATGTATCCCAGAGTGGATTCAAAGTTGCAATCTTCCTCCCTCTGCTCACCAGGTGTTGAAATTACAGGTATTCACCAGTATGACACTTAGCTCTCATTTTTCATTTCTAGGACATGCAAATAACAATACCTGGATCACTGCAATGTTTTGTTGGGGATTAAATGAGACTGTCAAACATTAGCACTTAGCAAAGTGTGTACCACATGGTAAATATTCAGAAAATGTTTGCTCTTCTTAGCCATTTTTCACCCTGATATGAACTATCTCTGTTTCCTGTTTCTTTGAATAACTAAAAGTTGGCTCATACTGCAGAGCTCCAGTAATTTGGGCATGCAAATCAGTTGCCTGGCAAAAGACAAATTAGATTTAAAGATAAATCAGAAGTCAGAGAAGACCTTGGAGGCTTCATAACTAAGATGTTCAACAAAAGATATGGTAGAGTGGAGGGGCAAGAGGTTGCCCTTCCCCGGGGCAAAGTCTGTGATTTTTACATCCTTTCTCCTAATAAGAAACTTTATTCTCTACTAAGGCAAACGCAAATCCTCCAAATTTTGAGCAGAAAAAGATTCTTGTAAAGAAAGTCTCTAAGGAGAAGTAGTCTCTCTCTTTCTCTGTTCTTTCCTTTTATATTTTCTCTTTGGCCTTGACTCCTTTTGCTTCTCTCTACTCTAGCATGTAACCATATACTTTTTAAACTTGATCCCAATTAGACCAAGACCCTTCTTTTCTTGTTCTCTAATTCAGCAAATGAAGCAAGCTATTTGTTTGTGGAGCTAGGAATCTAGCATGCTAGGCAAAAACTGTACCTCTGGCCTATACCTCCAATACTGGATTATTTTTCAAATTATAATGGAATCAAATTTCACTCAACACAAAATGAATTCTTTCAAGTCTGATGTTTTCTGATCCAAGTTCCAGTCAAGCAGAAACTTTCTCCAGTGAGCTCTATCCTTTCTCTGGTCATTCCTGGAGTGCAGCAACTCAGAATCCTTTGTCTGATTTCTTTATCTTGCCCCAGCTCTTTGGGAGGGGGGTCCCATAAAAGCTTCAATCTTGTCTTCTCTAGAAACTAAAAAGAATTTGTCATGTACTTCTTTATGAGAGCAGCGTTTGTGCCTGGAAGAGGATTACTAAGAATTGTTGAGCTCCCGACAGCACAGATCTGAAAGTATCATGCTTGAGCAGCACTAACCCTGTTCAGTAGACTTTTCTTTAATGAAGATGTCTGTACCCATCGGAATGGGAACAGCTTGTATGTGTGGCTACCCAAGCAATAGAAATATAACAAGGAGAACCAATGAAAGTTTATTTAATTTTTGTTTAATTTAAAATTTAAGCCAGATGCTGGATAGGTGGCTCAGCAGTAAGAGAATGTTTCCTGCTCTTGCAGAAGACCCGAATTCATTTCCTGATCCCCAGGTCAGGTAGATATCTAGGGGAATCTGACATGCTATCACTGTACAGAGGATTTCCAAGCTATTTTACTTAGTACCTATGTTTAGCCTAAGACTCACCTCGTTCATTCAAAACTCAGCAACACCCATTTGAAGGAATGAGGTATTACCTCCAGGTCTGGGCTATATCAGCTTATCAGCTCCACCTACTTTTGGAGTGTTTAATGATGACTGACAGGCACAGGAAAAGGGGTTGACAAATTAGATTCCTAGAGACTTCATTAATAGGGATACACAGATGGCTCAGTGTTTAAGCACATTGGTTGCTCTTGTGGAGGATATGGGTTCAGTTCCCAGCACCAGCATGGAGGCTAACAACCATCCTTCCACACCACCAGGAGGTCAGATAACTTCTGATATCCTTGTGCAACAAGTATGTGTGTGGCACACATTTGTGCAAAATACTCATACACATAAAATGTAATTTTTTAAAGAATACAATACTTTAATGCTATATCAAATCATTCATGTTTTTTAGAAAGCATTTGTTTTGTAGACAGGAGGATGTATTCTTCCATACATGTACATTATGTGTCTTGACTTCAAGATAAGAAGGGGAAAATACATTTTTCTCTCCAGAGGCCTGTCTAGCGTAGGTACCAAGAGTCCATTTGGTTTGTATATGACTCTCGCAGATCCGCCTGAGTTATCTCAGTCTGGGGGTACCTTGAAGATAACTTTAGTTATAAAAGATAGTTTCCATATTTTTTAATTTCTTCGAAACAACTCTGCTGAAGCTGATTTGGCACGTGTGGAGACAGAATACAGATGCTCTCTGCATGTGTTCCTGTATGTGTTCTAGGATCTAGAGCCCTAATACCAGTGCCACCTGACTGACCTTTCCTTGAAAGGACCCACATTTTACTGGTTATCAGAAAAGTGGGAGCTTATGTTATCCTGTGAGAAGAGCCCAGAATTCCTGTAGTGTTATTTAGATCATAACCGCCCAAACCCAAACTTAGTTCTTCATTGCATAGGCAACTGCTCATGCTTCTTGCTCACTAAAGTGCTCATCCATGCTTTACCAAGTGCTACACCAACCCTGCCAACACCCGTTCTGGGTGCTAGGAGCAAAGCAGAGTGCTAGATGGGCAAGATTCCCCCGTGAAACTTAGTCTCTAGTGGAGGGAAACATAATGAGTAAGAGATATGTGAGATCCTTTCAGATAGCGCCCTGAAGAAAATAAACACGTCACGCTATTGAGTGATGGTGGAGGTCTCTTTTAGAAGGGGGAAAGTTTGAGCTAAGTTCTGACTTCATAGTTGCCGGTTCTCCAATGCCAGCCTAGGAAAGTCTGTGGGGACCACCAGAACAGGTCATTTCCTTTCCTTTTATCATTGGATTCTTTATGCCAACATGATGTTTTGGCTTTGGACATAAGATGTAAGATTTTTAGAGTAAGCAAGTGTGCTGTGTGTTTCTTTGAATTATCTTAATTAGTTCTCACAAGATACAATCCAGGCTAAGAAGCAGCCAGACAAAACGACTTGCCCAAGATCAGGAAACAGATAAATGGCCAAGCCAAGAACTTGAACTTGACCCAGACTTCTGACCACAGGTTCTATGCTTTTAATTAACTAGGTCTCCTGGAACACCAGCACCTTCAGTGCTTCTGAAAAAAAAAAAAAATGCAGCTTTTTCTCCTCAAATCAGGCTAGTCTCCTTTGACTGCAAATGGCAGCAGGATCCAGCTACGTTTTCCTTGGAAACTATGTTGGGGCCAGACATCCCCAGAGCCGAGGAATGCTTGTCTTGACAGACGTCACGCCTCTGCTTAGAGCTGTAAATACAGGATGCCCCAAATGTTGCGTGGAGCATACTTAGTCTTAAAAACTGCTGTCTAAAATTCAAATTGAACTAAGCATCTTGCTTTTTTATTTCTGGACTCTGGAAGTCTTGGGTTACAATATCCAAGGCCCTTTTGTAGGAAGCAACCTATATGACTCCACGGACATCTAAATCATTTAAATAGAAGGATTACCAAAGGCGGTTGAAGCATCCGGGACCTGAGCTATAGAGAGAAGCTGGGGAGTTTGAAAGAGGCGAAGAACTTCCTTCACTCTTTAATTGAGGGAGAGGTGGAGGTGGAGCTGGTGAAATTCGAGTGAAGGACTCGGAGTCTTAAACCATCTGTCTCCTTCACTGTCCCCCAAAGGTGTGTGATCCGGAGTAGGATCTTACTTTTGCGGGACCCTAGTGTTCAACCAGGCAGAAGGGAAGCACGAGCTAACAGAAGGGAGCAACCCACTGGTTTCAGCCCAGGAGAGGTGGCTGTTCCGCCCGCTGCCGGCGCGCGCACTTGGACCCGCGGCTAGCGGCCAGGCCCCGCCTCCGGCTCCGCCCCCTTTGTTATCCGATACTTCTCTGGGTCAGCTGGTTCTGGCGTCAAGTGGAGGGGATGGGCTGGCTCAGCTCGACCCGGCAGGGCTTGTTTACTATGGCTGATGATCTGGAGCAGCAGTGAGTTTCCTCCTGTCCGTTTCTCTCTCTGTCTCTATCTATCCGGGCCAGGATCCGGGGACTGTCTGTGGTTGCGGACAGCTTCAGACTTCCCCGCCTTTCCTTTTCAGGTTGGCTTCCAGGGAGGGATGGGGTGCGCTGAGGAGCCCCGGGAGCGCTGAGGGATGAGAAGGCTGCGGAGCTGGGGGAGCGTTGAGGGATGAGCTTGCGTTCTGCCTGGGGTCTCTGACTTCCCACCCAGTCTTCGCGGCCGCCCCCTGGTAGCCCAGTTAGATCGGTGGGAAGGCGAGAGGGATACGCTTGCTGTTCCCGCCCCCAAACAAGCTTGAGAGACGCGGATGTGGGGGCAGCAGCCGGGTGCTTGTTAAAACTTGCCCCGGGACTAAAGTCGTGGGTGTGAAAGGCCCTGAAGGAGAAGGCATGGATTGGAGAGGGAAATCTTCACTGCGCTGGAATTAGCGTGGAACTGGCTTGCAAGTTCCTTTAGCGCTTGCAATCCTAGTTGGTACTGTTCGTAACGGTAAACACATGCTTACTGCCGTGGTTTCAGAAGTAGATTTGTTACACTGGGAGGTGGGGTTACTGCTCATCCAGGGCATCAAGTTTGAGATGCCACCTGTGGGCGGTGTGATGGCTGTCTAACAGGATCAGGAAAAAGTTGCTTGGAGAATGACTCAGCTCCAAGGGTTTCACGGGAACAGGGCCTTCCCTTGACCTAATATTTGTCCTTTTGGATCTGCAGAATACATAGCCTGCAGGACGAAATAACTTTGTAACAATAGTAAATAATAGCTTAGGAGACTTGAAAGAAGTGCCTAAGAGACTGTTGCTTTTTTAAGAGGAAATTTATGATGCCCCAGTGACTTGAGAAAGCAGCATTAGAGCCAGAAAACAGCGCAGGTCATTCAGCTCCGATTTACAAATAAAGCAGCAGATGCTGAAGCCCATAGGCATTCGGAGACTTGCGCGATCCCAGGTCTCCACAACAGGTTCTCTCCCATCGCAGAACTGCTTCTGCTCACCCCACGAGAATGAGAGGCACCATCCAGGCCAGGCGAAGTTCGTGGTTAAGAGGCTGCTTGCCTCGCTTCCCACCTCAGCTCCTACCTCCCTGACAGTACTGACGCACAGTTTGACAGGCACTGTTGCCTGTTCTCTTCCTGGATTGTTTTTGGAGGAGAAAGGCAAAGCTGTGCACCTGTCTCCCTGTTCCCACACCTCCACCCCTTCCTGACCAAAGCCATTGATGTATCATTCCCACAGCAACACTAGGTTTTGTTTGTTTGTTTGTTTGTTTGTTTGTTTGTTTTTTGTTTTTAACCTCAAACTATTCATTGAGAATAGCTACTTACAAAATAATATATTCAGGTAATGGTTCAGCCAGGGGGAAATAATGTTGGTTGATTTGAAGCTTATCTATATGCTTTAGATGTGAACTCACAAAGTTTTTAGAAACTTCTGAGCCAGATACAGTTACCTTCCCCTTTTAAGGGTGAAGAAACTAACAAAGGAAACTAATGTGCCACAGTCACATAACTGGTAAGTGGCCATGCTGGGACTAGAACTTTAGCCTCTGGCTTTGGATGACACTTGCTTCAGAAAACAGATACAAATGAGATGTGGGTGTCTACAAGAGTCTTCAGATATGGCCAAGCCTGACAGAGCCAAGGCTGGAAGGCTGCAGGGGAGGCGTCTCCTTGTCCAACCTGCTGTGTGACCGCTCTGTGCACCGATTGCCCACCTGTGAAGCAGAGGCTGGACTAGGTGGTTTTCAAGAAAACATCCAACTCTAAAAGCTGTGCTTCCCATGATGCTCAGGGTGCCCATTGTATGTGCAATAAGTAGTTGGGATGGTTCCTCCACAGGATGCCACTGTCCCCTCAGGCTCCTACCCACAAACCCTTGCTGCAGCTGCTAGAAACCATCCCATCACATTTGCCTAGGCATAGCTCACAAAAAGAGAAATAACACACAAGGTAGGAAAGGTAGAACAAAAAACTATAACTCACTGAACAACTAATTTTGCAGCAGACACCTGTCAAGGTTTCTTACATGTCTGGCTGTCAACACCAGTCTCTTCATCTGTGCTAGGTCTGTAATTCAGATTCAGGAGTTCTGTCTACCCCAGAACTAGTCCTTGTGACTTCTCTTCAATGGCTTAGTCACTGGGTGTGTGGGAGAAAGCAAGATAAGTTATCAGTTTTACTCTAGGACATGGGCAAGCTTTCCCTTCATTTTGCAACGTGGAAAATGGGCCAAAGGCAATGTGTGTGGTGGACAACAGTAAGAGATGAATCCAGATAACCAACCCCTAATCCCTGCCTGCCACAGCTCCAAGTTCAGAGCTGGTGGATCTCCCAGTCAGGCACTAACAGCAACCCCAAACTTCCAGAAGCATGCAAGAAGCAGATGGCATGGGAATTTGCCTGTCCTACCCTAAAAGAACAGCTAGATCTGGGGGGAGAGGAGGCGGCAAGGAATAATAGCAACATTAGTTAGAGGCACTCCCTCTCCCTTTGTAATCTACTTGAACATAAATTATGATAACCAGTAACAAAGAGGAGCCCTAAAGCTCCAGGAAGATAGTGCATGTGAAAAAGTCAAGTCTCGCGGGCATGGTGTCTGATATCTCTGAAGGGGCCGTTGTTGCTAAAGCCATCTGCCAGGGAAAGGGTAACAGTATAGCAAACTGCTCACTGCGGATGCTGAGGACCACGATGGACTGCTCAGGCATTGAGGATGCTAAGGGACATGAAGGACAGGCTCCCTGAGGCTGGGAAACACCCTGTACCTGATAACTCTTGGAGCTATCAGCCTGAGAACAGTGCTGCCTTTTCAGCATTGCCAATAAGTGCCTCTGTCTTGTTGTAGGCCTCAGGGCTGGCTGAGTAGCTGGCTTCCCACTTGGCGCCCCACTTCCATGTCTCAGCTGAAGAATGTGGAAGCCAGGATCCTCCAGTGTAAGTAGAAGGGACAGTTTGCTCCTCCTGTTTAAAAGGTCTGGAAAGGATACAAGATCTTCCCCAACCTGGGTCTGCTAAGCCTACTGAGCCCTCCTCAGGAGCCAGAGGAAATAAACTGAGTGGTTTGAGGGGAGACAGACAACACAGCGTTCCACTACAATGGTCCCTCAACTCCCTAGCCCTGTGGTAGCTCCTTCCACATCCGACAGCTTCACCCTAAACCCTATGCATTTGAGTGTACATTAATGCACACCCAGATTTCACCCTTTTCCTCTTTTCTCCATCGCTTCCTCATTTTTTCTTTTTCTGAACACATAGCTAAGCACTTTTTAATTTACTACCTTCCTATATGAGTGTCACCAATCTTATGTTTTCTAATGTCGCTATTTCCTGCCTTCTACTCAGGTTTAGCCTACCAACTGTCTGGTTAGCACAGTTATTTGGAGTTCACACAGACCAGGCGGTTAGAAGCCAAAGCAGGAACCTGGGGGCAGGAACTGAAGCGGAGACCATGAATAAATGTGACTTCACTGGCTTGCTTTCCATGACTCCCTCAGTTTGTTGGGTTTTTTTTTTTTCTTTTTACTTTATTTTTTTATTTATTTATTTTTGTTTTTGATTTGGTTTTTGTTTTGTTTTGTTTTTGAGACAGGGGTTTTCTGTGTGGCCCTGGCTGTCCTGGAACTCACTATGGAGACCTGGCTGGTTTCCTAAGGTGATCCCTTTAGGAAGAGAGAAAACTGAAGAGTGTAGTCCAGGCAAAATGCCTGTGTTCTCCGGAAGCATTCTTGTTGGTTCATCTGGAATTTTTCCCTTCCCAGGTCTCCAGAACAAGTTCCTGGCCCGTTATGTATCCCTCCCAAACCAGAACAAGATCTGGACAGTGACTGTGAGCCCAGAGCAAAAGGACCGCACCCCTCTGGTGATGGTACATGGCTTTGGGGGTGGTGTGGGCCTCTGGATCCTCAACATGGATTCCCTGAGTGCCCGCCGCACACTCCATACCTTTGATCTGCTTGGTTTTGGGCGAAGCTCGAGGCCAACATTCCCAAGGGACCCAGAAGGAGCTGAAGATGAGTTCGTGACCTCAATAGAGACATGGCGGGAGACCATGGGCATCCCCACCATGATCCTGCTGGGGCACAGTCTGGGAGGATTCCTGGCCACTTCCTACTCCATCAAGTACCCTGAAAGGTAAGGGGAAGCGGTCCCTCTCCCTCATGACTTCACGCCTTCCTGGCATGGTCCAGTATTCATTACCAGCAATACTCTCCTTTCCCAGCAACTTCAGAGCTATGGTACCTCCAAGCAAATGCAGTGTATCCTCTGTTTATTTTCTGTGTCAATGTAGAGTTAAGCACCTTATTCTGGTGGACCCATGGGGCTTTCCCCTACGACCGACTGACCCCAGTGAGATCCGAGCTCCTCCAACCTGGGTCAAGGCTGTGGCATCTGTCCTTGGGCGTTCCAATCCACTGGCTGTTCTTCGAGTGGCAGGGCCTTGGGGTGAGTCGCCTCCAGATGAGAAAGTCTGTCTTGAAACAAGGCCATCCCATTCGCCACCGCCCACCTTGGTGAACATGGCTTCCTGACATCCTCACTTGTTCACAAAAAGTAGACCTGGCCCTGGGCATTGATACTGAACACTAATAACCAGGACCACGTCTCTGTAGCGGAAGTTTCAGGTGATTGGTATATTCTCCCTTCATCTGCAGCAGCAGATAGAACGGAACCCAGAGGAAAGAAGGGGCTCTGATAGGCCGCTTGTGAGCTGCATGAGTGAGTTTGCTTGACAGCCTGTTGGTGCAAGTAGCCACCACTGGATCCAATTCTGTGGCTCCCCAGCATAAGCAATGAGCGCTTGGAACCTGCGCTTCTGGATTTCTTAGCACTGAGTAGCTGTCAGAGATCCTGACAGGACACACTCTAGCATAGTGTCAGAGGCTCTGCACACCCACCTCACACTGTGCACACACTTCCCTTTGGGGAGCTCTTAACAAACTGGTGACGGAAGAAGCAGATTTCGTTCTATTGAAAACATTGGTGACCCCTTTTTGTACAGATAGCTTCTGTTTATAGAGAACTGTTCAATAGTCACTTGTTACAATGGCTGAAACCGAATGGCTCCTAACACAGAGTGGAAAATGAGCACTGATGTAGAAGGTAGCACCAGGAGTTCTGGAAGAAAGGGTGCAAGCGCGAGACCCTGGTGCCAAAAGGGAGTAGGTGGACAGAGGGCTGACCTCACAGTCCAGGGGACTCCAACAGACTCCCTGGCATCCTTCCTGCTCTGATCATTCTCCCCTTCCCTGGCCTTGGATCTGGCCAGGTCCATGAGGGCATCAGCTACTGTGTTGGGTGGATTGTGCTAGAGGGAGGGCAGGGCCTGTGGCTGTATTCACTGAACCTCCCCGGATACCTCTTAGGGACAAAAGCACTGCCAGGACAGAGGAGTGGCCACTAGGCCCCGACCTCACAGTTAGTCTGCATGCCTGCCGCCTGTGAAAGCCCGGGCCAGCAGTGCTGTCAAGGTCACCTTTCCACGGATTCTGTTACAGCCTGAAAGTGTGAGAGCGCTTGAGAAATGGTACAGTTTCATCTGCTACCTTCAGGCGAGTTAAAAGGCCATAAGGCTCTGGGAGATTAGGGTTCAGGGGCTTGTAGAACTCAGACTAAACAAAAGTCCTCTCAAGCACAGACCCTCGCAGAACTTGTGAACCCATAGGAAAAGTCTTGGGACTTAGTGAAATGAAAATTACCAGGTTCTTTGGGGGTGGTGGACTGTCACTAAACTCATTGGTGACCAAAGTATCAGAGTCTGACCTTTGAAGTCATCTGTTGCTTCCCAACAGGCTTTTGCACTCTCCTTGCCACTGTCTTGTTAGATGCATAAAGGAAATAATTTCTTAGATAAATTTGGTTAAGATTGTTTAAACATAGCAAGCAGTTTATCCTCTCCCACACTGCCTGCTCCATGGGTGGTGGTGTTTTGTTTGTTTTGGGTTTTGTGGTTTGGGTTGTTACTGTTCTCTTTGTTCTTTGGTAGGGGCTTAAAATACGTTCTCACTGGATCCCTGGACTGACCTTGAACTTGAAGTAATCCTCCTGCCTCTACCTCCTGAGTGCTGGAATTACAAGCTTGTGCTGCCATACCCAGTGTCATGTTGTTCTTTTGTTTTTCTATTCTCTCCCAGGGCCTGGGCTGGTGCAGAGATTCCGTCCAGACTTCAAGCGCAAGTTTGCAGACTTCTTTGAGGACGATACCATCTCAGAATATATCTACCACTGTAATGCACAGAATCCCAGGTGAGAGAGGCTCCCAGCAGCAGCCCTGTGGGGCTGGCTGAAGAGTACCTGAGGCTGCTATTCTCCACGAAGCCCTGACTCAGGGGAAGGCAGGCATCGGCAGGCTGATCGTTTCCAGAGAGCTCCCGAGGGGTGGTCACTAAAGGTGTAGAAGATAATAGATTTAATTAAACATGTTGTTCTCTAGAGGAAGACCTCATAGCTTCCCTGGTGATCAGAAGCTGAGATGGTGAGGAACAGTGTTAGAAACATCTAAAAGATATTTTTTAACTGAAAAACTGATTTAAAAAAACATTTTTTCTTGTTGGTTTTTGGTTTGATTTTATAGGCAAATGGGTTTTGGCTTGTTTTTAAGGAACATAGAGAAAGAGAGGTCTTTGCCCTCTTTCTTTCCAAATTTGGAAACATTCACTTTCCAAATTTCCTCATTTTCAGTCTAATATGTCATGTAACATTGATGCAGAGAGACTCCTTGCATGTGTCCCTTGCTAATACACACACATGTGTTATATCTGTAGAATATATTTCTGGAACACATTCAAAGAAAGAATATGCATTTATTTCAGTTATATATACTTTGAAATAGCTTAGAATTGGCATAAAAATCCTTTACCTCTTTTAGAGGTATAGAAATGTCCTCAGAACTGTGAGAAGTACTTATCTCTGGCTGCTTCCAAGCAAGCCCCGCAAACTTGCTGATCTGCAGTTTTGGCAGCATCAACAGCCAGGACAGAGCCAGGAAAGTAATCTTCCCTGTGAGAGGCTAATACCAGCAGGGCACATTGGTAGCAGTGCCCTGTGGAGACCTCACCCTGACCCTACAGGAGTCACAAACAGTACGCACCTCTTTCCAAGCCTGTCCAAGTCACTGTCTGCCCAAGGCTGTGAGTAAGGCAGGGTTAGGCCTTCCAGCAATACTCTGAGCATTAGTCTCAATGCAGCATGGCAGCCAGCATTGCATGTGAGTATAGCTAACTGCAGGGTGGTCCCGGTTAAACTGTGTGCCATAGAAATCCCCAGCAGTCAAAGTAAGCACCCCCAGATTTTTGTTCTCTAGCTTCTCTCAGCTCCTATGGGCTCATTATCAGTCCTGAAGACCCAACCAGCAGAATTTTACCCTTCCCTTCATCCAAGATCTAGTTCTGTGCAATGGCTTCCCAGTCTTAGCCATAGACTAATCTTGCTACTTGTTCATGTTGCAAATGAAGCAAACATGCCATCGGGTGGCCAGCTCTCATCTTCTCCCTCCAGACATCAGTTTTAAACACTAAGCTTTTTTACTGTAGCCGATAAATTTTCAGGAATTCCCATCAGTCCTTTGGAAAACAAGGTCTGGAGAAGAGGAAAATGTTTGAGTGGTACCACCTCCACTCCACCTAGACTTAGGAGCTCTGTATATATCTCCATTCTTTTTATCTTGACCTAAGGAAGTGTACATAGTTCCCTCCAGTTTGTATATGGAAAAATTGAACTGTATTCTGGTTATAAACTTGCTAAGAAGACAAGGTTTAAATTCCTGTGGAACAGAATCCAGAGTCTATGGTGCAGTATCTCATAGAGATGTTCTCTGCTTCTGCTGGCATAGACAGAATTCATGGCTGGGTGCAGAGGAAATCAGGAATTTAACTACATCAAACAGGCAGAGCCCAGGAGAGAACACTGTCCTCAACCACCCCTACCTCCCACAAAAGCTGCAAGCTAGTCAGAAAGCTGGCTCCTGTCCCAGCCTCACACAAACTTGATAGGGGGATTGAATTTGCATTTGTGGTGTCCTCCCCTAGCAGAAGCTGCTGAGCCTCAGTCTCAAAAGCCCGACACATTTTCATCCCAGAATGTCTGCTAAGGACCTCACACTCGAGGGCTCATCTCTAGTGAATTCTCCCTCCATCTCATCAGCTAAGCCCCTTTACCCATGTTCTGTAGCTCTCGCCCCTTTTCAGAATCCTTGGGAAATGTTGAGTCAAAGCACAAGTATCTAATTATTTACTTAGCCACCGCCTTCCAAAGATGTAAGCAACAATGCAAGCTCCAGGAGGGCAGACACTACATCTGTCCTGTTCCTGTGCCCCGCCACGCAGCCCAAGTGTAAATATATGCTGCCTAAGTACTCACTGTGTTCTTGGACAGCTCCCTATGTCATGGGGAGGCTCTCACAAGCATGCCTGGGGGCATGTCACTACCCCCTAATCTTGTCAATATTTAATGAGCCAGTGCTGGCTGTGAGGAGAAAATAAAGACACCAAGATCCAGCTCGGCCTCTGAAAGGCAGCAAGTTGACATCTTGTTGATCTGCCCATGGCCTCACTGTTTTGTTCTGTCAGTGGAGAAACAGCATTCAAAGCAATGATGGAGTCCTTCGGCTGGGCCCGGCGCCCCATGTTGGAACGAATTCACTTAATTCGAAAAGATGTGCCCATCACCATGATCTATGGGGCCAACACCTGGATAGACACCAGCACAGGGAAAAAGGTGAAGATGCAGAGGCCGGATTCCTATGTCCGAGACATGGTAGGTTGGTTTGCTGGGGAGTGGGAGTTGCAGTGGACAGTGGGTGGAAAACTCTTGGGTAACCAAGGATGATCAAAATCAGGACAAAAAAAAAAAAAATATATATATATATATATATATATATATACACACATATATATACAGACGAGATAGAGCAGTGGCTTTGAGAGGTTCCACTCTCTGCTAGATAGTTGGGGATTTACTTTTTATGTGCAACCCAGTTCAGCTAAAAGGCAAGTTCCTGACCAGCAGCTAGGAGAGTGCTTCTATTCCAGATCTCCAGCCTGCCCTCCCCGAAGCAAAGCTGTGGGGAGCAGGCTGAGTAGCAGTGGCTTCCTACCACGCTTCTGTCTCCTGCACCTTTCCTGAGTCACTGTGGTCCTGTTTCCTGCATAAAATAAGAGATCAAACAGAAAAGACACAGTGGGTGGCCCCCTAAAACAAAATGGGCTCTTGGCATTTACTGGTTCCCAGAGGAATGTGTGACATCCCGAGAAAGGGTAGAGTCGTGCCCCTGAGAATGGCTGAGGGCAACAGGCAAGCAGGTGGGGGAGGAGGGATGGTGGGGCCACCAAGCAGAAGTGAGCTGAGCCACCGCTGTCATCTGCCCACAGGAGATCGAGGGTGCATCCCACCACGTCTATGCTGACCAGCCACACATCTTCAATGCTGTGGTGGAAGAGATCTGTAACTCCGTGGACTGAGCTGCTCTGAGAGGGAGAAAGCCAGAGTTGCTGTCATCTGTCTCTCTGTCTTAGTCAGAACCTCTGTCCTTTCCTCACCAACTAACATGTGCCAGCCAGGCAGTCTCGGGCTGTCCCCTAGGTAGGACCACAGTGAAAAAGAGCACTTCTCATCCCATGCTGAGGGCAAGGGGCAGAATCCACCAGAGGCCTTGAACTCCCTACTCTGGGGAAGAGCATAAAGGGTTGCCTAGTGCCACCCATTTTCTTCACACCAAGTGTTACCAGGTAGTGATTGTGAGGAGATCGTGCAAGCCATGCCATCTCCCTGCATGGCCTTCCCCTCCTGGGTAGAGGAGGGCTCCCAGCAGCCTTTCTAGTTTGGGAATGTGTCTAAGAGTAGGTTCCGTACAGGAACATCTTTCTTCTCCATCACTCCATGCCTCCATCCAAACTCAGTCCCTGCCTTCCCACCAGGAACAGCTCTCTTCACCTGCACAACCCCTGCCCGACCTTGGAGGTCATATCCCACGCTCTTATTGGCAGGTGAGGAAAGAGACCGAATCGCTGTGTGTGAAGACTTCCGCCAGCACTTGAGGCTGTAGCCCAAGTCTACTGCCTTCCAGCGTGTGGCGCAAGCCTTGTGCACAGACACCACTGCTGTGAGCTGCTTTAAAACTAACCTTGCTCCATATTCTAATCTGTTATGCAGGTACACTATTATCTTGTCCTGTGTCTCAATCCTGGTTGCCTAAATTGGGACCTTTCCCTTGTTCCTCCCACTGTGAGGCTCTAAGCCTCATCTGTGCCTTGGGCCCTAAAGCCCCATGTGTGGTATAGAGCAAAGGTGGCTGCTGGTAAAGAAGGGGAAAGACCCTTCTACCCTGGGGTCATGCCTGGGTTCACAAAGTCCACAAGGAGCTGCAGCTTTTCCTACCTGGCCCCAGAGCTAAGAACCCCTTCCCATGGCTCCCTGAGGAGCTTTAAGCCAGCAGTTCTGTCCTTATCAGCCACAAAACACTTAATCACTGCCTGACACCCTATGCCTCTCATCTATCATCATGGTCTCCGACTCAATCTGCTTCAAAGTTACCCATCAGCCCTCTCCAGTGGATCTCATTCCAGGTCCTGCTCTAAGATCTGGGTACTAGGCTGGGCCTGACCCCAGAAGCCGGGCAGTTCCTGCCTGCTCCTTCATTTTATAAAGCCAACCCTTTCACCAGAATAGTATTAACTCCTGGTGCTTTGTACTACTGGTCCAGCTGCCTCAGGCTCCTTTTCTATATTAATAAAGGAGAGTAAAAACTGTTGGTGAAGATGATGCTTGCTATTGATCTAGCAAGAGCACCAAGGGGCACTGCCTCGCAGAGACCATAAGGTCCCCACCAAGACAGTGGAGCCAAAAAGGTCACCCCTACGTGCCGCTCCCTCTCCCACACAGTTTACCCCAAGTCCAGGGAAGCACAGACCATCTCAGGCAGCCTCAGACAGACGGAAGAGGAGTCCTCCCAGAGCACAGGCGGTGACACCTCCTCGGCAGGAGAATGCGGCAGAGCTGGATGCTCTGCTCTGCCCCGTCAGCATCTGTCAGCAGAGGTCTAGGCCATTACAACCCTCTCCCCCAACTCCTATTCATTCTCCACGTCTCAGCTCAGAGGCTCCTTACACAGGAAGACCTGCCCTTCAGCACCTCCCGACCTTATTGTCCTTATTGTGTGTCCCCACTGACACCCAACTGTCCCTTCTTTTAAGTGTAAACTTGGGGCTGCAGAGACAGCTTAGTAGCTAAGAGTCCTCTCTGCTCTTCCAGAGACCCAGGTTCATTTCCCAGCAGCCATGTCGGGCAGCTACCTGGAGCTCCAGCCAAGTGGCTCGGATACCTCTGGCTTCTGCAGCCACTTGCACTCACGCCTCCATGCATGTGTATGTGCTCACACACACACACACTGTATGGAATACCCAGATGGCTCAGCACTGACTTGGCAGCACTCAGTTCAGTTCTCAGAAAGCTCACAAACCCTTGTAATGCCAGCTCCAGGGGACTGATCCCATGCCCTGTCGCCTCGGTGGGTGCACACATGCGACACATATAAACAGGCGTACACACATTTTTTTATTTTTTTAATGATTTATTATTTTTATCTATGTACGTTAATGTTCCACTTGTATGTGTGTGAGCGTGTCAGATCCCCTGGAACTGGAGTTACAGACAGTTGTAAACTGCCATGTGGTTGCTGGGACCTTTGGAAGAGCAGCCAGTGCTCTGAACCACTGAGCCATGTCTCCAGCTCCTAGATTTTAAAATATTAAACAAACAAACCTCAACATCATTGTCACTTGTTTAATGTCTGTGTTTCTTTGCCAGACAAAAGCTCTGTAAGGACAAGGGGCTCATTTGACACATATCTCTATAATAAATGTTGGGTTTGGTCAAGTCAAAAGAAATGAGATATATCAGATAAAGCCATGCTCAAATCACCACCAACATCCCCTGAGCTTGCTGGCTAACTTCTCCGTCAGCCTAGATTCCAGCTGTAACTGCGCGTGCCACACGCTGTGCAATTAGATGAACTCACGGACAGACTGATGCAAATGCCTTCTGGGGTGAGGCCCGAGGCCGGCCTGTCCCAGGACCATCTCTGCTGGAGACTGTTGTGCGGTGGACATGCTCTAGCCCTATTGCACGTATGACCAGGACCACAAAAATGAAAAACGTGATTCCTTCCTTGATGAGAAATCCCAGGCTCTGTAGAGAGAATCGCTTAGCAAAATTTTAAGTAAACTGAAAACTATAGCCGAAAAGTAATGCCTGTGATGGGGAAAGCCACTCACGGCCAAAGTGACGGCAGCTGAGCCTGAAGGGAGGGTGGCGGCCAGAAGAGGGCAGTGAGAGGAGAACCCCTGGACTGGTCCTGTGATGCATTTGCAGAGGCCGCCGTGAAGCTGCTCGCACAGGGGTGCTCATTCTCCCTCAGTTTGTGTGAGAGAGCAGAAGGCACAAACACCCAACCTGTGGAAGTCCATGTTGGTTCTCCCCTCCCACCCTTATGTCGGTTCCAGGGCTCAACCTCAGGCCACCACGTTTGCCAGGGCAAGCGCTTCAACACACGGAGCCACCGAGCCCTCGGAAGAATGTGGTCATCCTAAGAAAGGAAGAGCGGACTAGAGCACTGGCCTAGTGAGAAAAGCTGTCCCAGTCTCAGTTTAACTCCTGAAAACTGCACGGTGCAAGAAAAGTGGCTCCCACAAGTTGTCCTCTGACCTCCAGATGTGTGCCATGGCTTGTGCTTCTCACAGCGCGCGTGCACACACACACACACACACACACACACACACACCATCTGATGAATTTGAATATTCGGAGGGTGAGAGACCAAAAAGATTAAAAATTAGCAGCTATTATTAATTAAGGCCTGAACTGTGTGGGTGGAGAAGTCTAGTAATGCCCTGAGGGGAAAGACCGCCTTACTGCATTCTTTCCCCACCCACTAGAGATAGCAGTTGTTAGGAAACTGGCCCATTCCCCCTAAGGAGGGACACCAGGTCATTATGGTCTGGGGACGTTCCTATAGCCAATCGATTCAAAATGTAGCATTTTGACCAATAGATGCTTGCCAGGCAGGAATCGCTCCTGCCTTGGGCATGCTGGGATGGACCAGAATCTATATATCACCCAACTAAACTGGGCGCAGCGCGCTCGGCTCCCACCGCTTCGGCGGTGGGTGTGTGTGGGCCCAAGCTGCAGCTTGTAATCTTCAATAAAAAGACCCTCATGTGTTTTGCAACAGAGTTGATTCCTATAGATCTTTTGGGGGCTCTCGAACTGGGTGTAACAAGGGCTAGGGCTAGGACTAAGAGATGACCTAAGAGAGGCCACCTAATTGGCACCATTCCTAATTGGTTCCAAGGACTTACAGTGCTACACACTCAGCATCCCAAAAGCCTAGCAGTTTGCATGCACAGAGGCTGCACAGATAAAAAGTTCTTTGAAACACAGGCAGTGCCAAGAAACATGCTATATTTTAGCTTCTCCATCAAGGCAGACCAGAAGCAAGGCTGATTTCATTGTCAAAAGAATGGGAAGCTCCCAGGGAGTGCCCCCTCTGCTCCGATGCATCCTACACTTGAAGAGCACAATTGCAGGTATGGTACACAGGCAGAGAAAATGACCCCGTAGAGCAGCGGCCGACCCAGTGTGCAGTGAGTGGCGTGGTCACTGTAGACCTTCGGATTCACGCAGAGTCGTCGTCCTCGGATGGTATGCGTTACTCTTCTCCTTGCAGTTTAAGGAGAGAAGGGGTGGTTCGGGCTCCCCGTTTGATGCGGAAGGCACAGCAGCAGGAGCCTGAAGCTCTCAAGCCTATTGCATCTACAGTCAGGAAGCAGAGACGGAGCTGTTGCTCTGCTCAGTCTCTCCATTTTATCCAGCCTGGGACCCCAATCCATGAAATGGTGCCACTCACTTCCCACCTGAGTTAAAACTCTGGAAATGACCTCACACACACCCGATGTTTGTCTCCTAGGTGGTTTCTAAACCCCATATACAGATAGAGTAGAAAGGTCATTTCTCTTTACTCTTCTTTCTCAGTCCTCCCACAAGCACCTGGTCTACTTGGCAGGATGCCCAAGAGTTTGAGGGTGAGTTGCAACCCAATCCCCAATCCTGGTGAAATACCTCAGTATAAACCACCTCTTTAATTGTTTTATTTGTCTAGGTTTTACTTTTTGAGTCAGGGTCTCACTGTATAGCCCAGGCAGGCCTAGAACTTGCTGTGTAGCCCAGACCAGACTAGAAATTGAAAGCTTCCATGTGTCCTCCACCATGTCCGACTGTTTTTCATAGTGTAAGTTCAGTATTTTTAAACTGGAAAAGTCACCGTCACTGTCCCGCTAAACGTCACTCTTGACTGAGGTTGAGGAAAAATAATGTCTGCCTAGCACCTTAGTGAGAATAATTATTCCTAGACAACACTAAAGAGGATCCATTCATGGTTCTGGGTGCATAACATTCTTTTCTCCAGCTCAGGAAAACTCTATTCCCCTGGTTGATGGCTTTGCAAAAGGATTAAAGTCTACAGACCTCATCTGCAGACATCTGATTGGTGTCCCCTCTCTCTGGAGTGTGTCCTGAAACCTAATGTAGCATTTGTTGTAATTCAGCAACCCCACGTTTTAGTTACCACACATGAGAACAAGTTGTACAAGGTAGCAGCCGAAGAAGTTTGAAGAATGAGTTGCGGTTGGCATCGATACTTTCATTTCCTCAGCTTGAAGAGACTTTGGGGAAAAGAAGAGCATGCAGCTGACAACTGACAATGTGGAGTGTCCAGGGGCCCCCATGGAGTAGTACAGGCTAGCCTCAGGCTTCCAAGCTAAAGCAATTCTCACAGCACAGCCTCCCAAGTAGCTAGGACTGCCGCCATACCCAATTGACAGGATTTTTGTCAGGGCTCACAACGCATGAGAAGAGATTTATTGGCCTCTGATGAACTTGAACAAAAGTTAGTTAGGTGCCGTGTACGTCTTAAAATCTTCAGAGGAAGAGAAAAGTTTTCAAATAAAATTGCAAAAATGACATGTCATGTCAGCGGTATCCTTAATGGACGGTGGTCAGGAACTGCCCCGTGGCTCTGTTATAAATAAAATCCTTTTGGCGATGTTTTTCAGCTCTAACACCTAGTGGTTTGGCCACTGGTAAGACAGCCATGCTCCTGTCAGAAATCCTAATAAAACTCACGGGGTCAATCACAGAAAAGAAAATCAAACTTGGAAGTGGAAGGGGGCTAGGTGGAGTGAGGAAGAGGGCCAATGGGAGGAGGAGGACAAGAAGGGACAACAGGAAGAGGCATGTGATGAAAATGCAGGAAAATGCACCATGGACATGTATGAGGATGTGTCTTGAGATTAACCAGTACATGTCATGAAGACTTTTCTAAAAAGCAGACAAAGCTTTGTTGGAGCACAGAACTAAGCTGCCCAGAGAACACGGAGGCTTCCTTAGTACTTAGTACAGATCATAGTCTGATCAAAGGCGGGTTATAGTAACTTCCTTCCGGGTCTCAAAGCAGCAGGACACCAAACCGTCTCTTGCTAGAAGCAGGTCATCCTTGTCTTGCGGACACATTCTCATACTACTGTGTTAAAGTGTCAGGCATAATTTTGTAGGTTTCAGAAAGTCAGATTTCCACACTTTCCAAGGAGAATCACTCAAGGGGCTCAATGTGGTCAGGGAATTGTTTTTTAATTGTGTTTGCGATTGTGTGTGCACGCATTGTGTGTGCATGTGTGTGTGTGTTCATGCGCCTGATGTGTTTAT